TTGTTGGGAAAATTCGTTGATAATCTGTTGGGAAGCTATCTGTTGGTATTCTATTGGTAAAATATTCGTTAGTAATCTGTTGGAAAGATATTCATTGCTAATCTGTTGAGAAAATTTCGTTGGTAATCCGTTGAAAAATTTTGTTGGTAATCAGTTGAGAATATATATGTTTGTATTCTGTTGGTAAAATATCCGTTAGTAATTTGTTGGGAGTATATCCGTTGGTAATTTGTTGGGGAAAAATATGTTGGTAATCTGTTGGAAAATCTCTGTTGGTAATCTATTGGGATAATTACGTTGGTAATCTGTTGGGAAATAATCCGTTGGTAATTCGTTAGGAAAAAATATCTGTTGATAATCCGTTGGTAAAAAATCTGTTGGTAATCCGGTTGCGATTATTTCTGTTGGTAATCCGTTTGTAAATTATGTTGGCTTTCTGTTAGTAATTTACCAACGGAATGATTTAGCAACTACGTTTTCTGATGGCAATTCCTTGACAATCTCATGGAGTGATTCTGTTGAAAATTCGTTGGTAATCCGTTGAGAAATTTACCAACGGATTGTATATTCCGTTGGCAATAATTACCAACAAGCCATATAGCAACACAAAAATCTGTTGGTAATCCGTTGACATTCTGTTGGGAAATTTGTTTACCAACAGATTTTTCCGTTAGTAAAACTCATATTTCTTGTAGTGGAAATATGATCACAAGTGAACAAACAGGTGAGCAAAAGAGATTAAGGATTTTGCAGAAAATTGATTGAAGTGATTCAAGGACTACATCAAACTAAGTGGAACGGGGGAACTCAAAGTTGAGACGAACAATCTAGAGAGACTCTTAAAAAATGGTTATTCTTTTAATATATATATATATATATAGATATTCGAAAATTTATGTAAAGAATAAATTGTCTTCATACTTTGTCAAGAAAAAATAAATAAATAAATGAATGAACCAAGAAAACTAGTGTGTAAACAGTTTCTAGACACGCTGCCCTATATATTATACATAGAAGAAAATACAATTAGACGAGTGTGGAACATTTGGAAGTGGTGGGATCGTATATGGCAGGGAGCAAGTACTTTCGGCCATTGGCGCCATGGGCATTGTAGCTGGCCCCTGTGGTTGGGTCCACCAATAAGTCCCCCGCGTAGCCCGGGTAGGCACCTTTCCCGTAAACTCCAGGGCAGGCTGTTGCGGCTTCTAGTGGGGCCTCGGCAGAGCCCTGATAGTAGCCATTCCCGAAGGGATTAGTGGCGGTGCCCGCGAGAAGCCCACTCAAGCTCATGACTATAGCGTCGAGGCCCACGTCATTGTTGGGCGGCACCAATGGCGGGTTTTGTGGGCCGTAAGTGGGCTGGTGGAATGGCCAGGCACAGTACCCGGGGCACTGAGTCTCCGAGTTGCCCACCCATATGTAGGCGAACTTGGAATACCTCTTGGGGCCGGGGACACTGCTGGAGCCGTGGGTCCCGCAGCGGTTGAGGCAGAAGCCGTTGACGGTGACGTCACTCGCCGTTAGAACAACATTGACGGCGTTGGAGTGGTCTCCCTTGGATGCCAGCTGGACTATGTGTTTTTCGGAGAGGGACTTACCGAAGGAGTAGTTTTCGTCAAGGATCTGCCGGCCGAGGCGGAGGGATAGAGAGTTGGGTCTTCCGGCGAGATGGTAGTACTTCTCCACCGTCCTCCACCACGCGCCGACGGACTGCTGCTTCCCGGCCGGAGCCGAGACAGAGGTTATGAAATCGGCCACGATGGCCCGCTGTGAGGCGGTGAATTTTCCGTACCAGATGAGATTGACGGCAATTTTTCCGCGGAGGAGGGCGCCCTTGTGGTAGCGGAGGAGCTGTGGGTTTCCGGCACCACTTGTGATCGTTCTGGAAGCGGAGCAGGAGAGGCTCAATAGAAAAGTTAAAGCTACTAATTTCACGAACAAACAAGATGAAGAAGCCATATTTTAATTAGAAGATGGGAGAAAATGGAAATTGTGTTGTTTCTTCTTTGCTTGTGACGTTGTGAGTTGGGGGGTTTAGGGAAGAGGATGGTATTTATATTGGTTTTGAGATAGCTGGTTAAGTAATTCGGTCAAAATTTGAGACGCGGTTTTGTTGGCAAAACTAAAATAATAATAATAATAATTAACAACGTCTTTGTAATTACAGCTTTTGATGGTTTGGACAAATGAATTCACAGCTGAGATATCAGCGTGCTGGGCCTGGGCACTTCGGTGCCATAAAGGTCGTCTGATATTTTTCCTTAAATGCCCTTCCGTTGTTTTGTGTTTTAGGCCTTTGGGTTTGAATTTTGCCACGGGGGCAATTTAGGTAAAAGGATGGTGAAGAATAAAGAAAGAGCTGTTGTCCTATAGGGGGCTTTTAGGACAGGCTGGATACTCTGTGGGGGCACCAACTCATTTTATTGGAAACTGCGTTAATAGCTGTCCCAGTTGGCACTCGTACAAAAAAACTCACCTTCACTTGCCGCCAAAAGTGCGTGACTCACAAACAGATGGAAGGATCCTATGAGTGAGCTCCAGGAAACTTACCTAGTATATCCATAGCCTATATATAATTTTCATTGCCCTTTTTATTTTGTTTTTTTTTTTTTCAGAAAACTATAATACTCCCTCCTTTTCAAAATAAGTATCGTTTTGACTTTTTTGATTCATCTATTTTACTATGTATCTCGTATGTCTAGATACATAGTAAAATGGATGAATAAAAAAAGTCAAAACGACACTTATTTTAAAAAGGAGGTAGTATAATATATCATACAAAATATATATAATGCATAATCTCGAGGTCAAACTTCATGCTGTATTTTTTAAGTGGGACAAATCGAACTCGTATCTAATTCTCAAGTATGCATAATGCAGTATTGTGCTCGTGCACGGGTACACAACTATTGCAAATTGCATTTGTTTGACCCCAACACGAAAATAATATTCACGGTGTTGAGATTCTTACGCCCAAGTTAATGTTTGAGGAATGATATGATGTATAAAATGTATGTATATATAGAATACTACATGTCTACAACTGTATAGAGTTATAATATCAATATCTCATCTTTTTATATAGTGATGTTACCTTGTTGCTCAAAACTTTGTATGATTTAGCTGCCCAAGTGCCGAAGCTACTCAATTGCACTGCCCGGGTGCACGAAATATCCAATTCTGTTAGTCACATGATCTTATTCACATGTCATCCTTATCCTAATTATATTCGTGCTTATCCATATATTGGTTGTTCACATAAGCTTGTCTCCTTAACTAGCTATTTTGGGTATCCCACATCATTTGGTCACTCACACTCTGGTTGAGTAAAGATAACTTGATCAAAGAGTAGAACTAGATACCTTTAACTATACTCTCAATCGTGAAATTTCTCCCAATCGAGCAATTTTTTCATTCTCTCTAGGTGAGGGTTCAAATCCATCTGGCATCCTTTCCTATCGACATAACCGCCTCGACTCCCATGATAAGTTCATTAATGTTGCATTGATCTCCGTGTGTGTGTGTGTGTGAAGTAGCTTGGATAAAAATCTTTTCTCTCTAAAACTCTATTAATTATACCAAGAAATAAATTCTAACAACTTTTATGTATGATCTATCATTAAAATAATAATTATCTACTAAAAATAATAAATAATTTATATATAAATATGTATTGGGGGCTTGCACTCTAATTCCCATATTTTTTTTTAATTTTTTATTAATTATATGTAAATAATTCAAACAACAAAATTTAATTATTTATTATAAATACTTATTTTACAAATAATTACTTTGTGTGTATTTGTATTCTAATTTTTTAACAATTATTTTTTTCCCTTCATGAGTAAAATAAATGTTTACATACGAGATACTTTATTTTTTTAATAGTGCCGCAAAATGTGCACTGCGTATGTCATAATATTAGATGCACTCACACGCGCGCACGCACATACACACACATATATAACTTAAGTAACATGTAAAAAAACCTCTGAAACTATATATATTATCTAGAAATAAATTCTATCAATTTCTAACTATGATATATTCTTAAAATAATGACTATAATCATTTGTTTAAATAAATAATTAAGTCATACATAATTATGCATTAGGACTTGCACTCCTAATTTATTAAATCCTATGTGGATACATAATTCAAAAACAGTAAAAATAATTATTTGTACAAAGGCTTAATTCAAAAAATAACACATTTAGAAATTTCAATTAATTATTTGAAACATCCGCAAGCGGAGAATCCCTTTCTCTGAAAATAACCCAAATCAAGCCCTCGTTGTCATCAATCTCTTCTCTTCAATCGTGCGCCTCCTTAGCGGCTGATTGGCCTTCGCCTGTGGTCAACCCTTGGTCGCGCTTCCTTAACCTGGTTCGTGCTCCGTTCTATGGCTGCTATGGAAGGTAGGGTTCAGGCGGCTGTCAGTGACCGGGTCCTTTTGATTCTCAAGTTCTGGCCGGTGGCTGCAGCTTTTCGACATCCCCGATTCGATGGTGGTTCTAGGTGGTGTAAGGCATCGGGGGCTGGGAGCGGCTTGGACGGCTCGTGGCATCTTGGTCGGAGTGGGGTGGTCGGGGTTGAGGTACTCCCTATGCCCTTTGCTTTTCTACGATTCCTTGGTGTGAGGTTGGAGGAGACAGGTGCAACGAAATCGGATAGTGGTGTTGGTCAGATCTGGAGTAGCGGTGGTGTAGGGGGTTGTGATGTCCTCAGCTTAGGCTGGCCTAGCTGGGGGTCGCGCATAGCAGTCGGAGCTTAGGTGCCTTTTGATCTCTTGTATCCCTTGTTTCTCTGATTTTGGGGTCGAAAGGAACCGGTGTTGCCGAATTCAGCTAGTGGTGGTGACTGTTTTTTGAAGCATTGGTGGTATGGGGAGTGACATCGGTTCTCGGTCGGTGGAAGAGCGGTCGACCTTTCGGCGCGGTTTGAGGCTCGAGTTTCTGTCTCAGCTAGGCGTTTACGCAGTTTCGGGGTCGATTTCTTGAGTGATGGACCATCCTTGGGGTCGTCTTAAGTCCAATTGGTATTGCTAGTTCGAGCTGCTGAGGGCGGATTTTGCTTAGCCTTTTTAGTTTTTAGTTTTGTGTTTTTCGTTGTTTGCTAGGAAGTGTGTTTTTGGTATAGGCCGTTGGTCTCTGTACTGCCCGAGTGGGAGCGGATATATCTTAGATTTTTTTCTGTGTCAGTTTTGTTGTGTTGTGTTATTTAGGTCTATGTTCTTGGTTTGGTTAGTACTCCGTTGGGGGTTGTTCCACAATACTCTGTTGGGAGTCGTTCCGCATTACTCCGTTAGGGTCGTCTTAGTTTGGTCTTTGTGTTGTGTTGTTTTGAGTTTGTTTTCTAGCGTTGCTAGCCTGACTCTACGTGGTCTTATGACCTGTCCTCCCAGTTTTCAGATGTTGCTTGTTCTTTTCAGTTAGGGGTTGTGTTCTTTGCACATTTGTTCATTTTTTATTTATAATATCCTCTATCGTTTCGTTAAAATAATAATAATCATAACACATTTATCAATATATATTAGTTTATGTATAAATATATTATGATATTATTATAATCTAATATGGGTTACAAATAATATATTTTACAAACAATATATTAGTTTACCACTTGATAAAAATAACTATATATGCTCATTATTGGTGATATTTCTCAAATATCTAAATTTCGACACAATAATTCATCAATCTTGTTAATAACAAATTGCAAACTTACCAATTTTATATATTTTTGTTTTATTTTCTAATAAAATTACTTTAATAATAAAAAAATAGAAAGAGAGAGAGAGAGAGAGAGAGAGAGAGAGAGAAAGAGAGAGAGAGAGAAAATCATATTTTTCAAAGAATAATGTAATCTATTCAACTAAAAGGGATATATTTTTTAAATAAAAAAAATATCATCAGTTGGTAATGGTATGAACTTGCATATCCATATAAAATATATCTCGAAAATAGTGAATAACATTTACTTGGACAAAAAAAATATCTAAATTTAGGTTCATTTTATCAATATCAACCAATAATATGAGAAAAATGAAACTAAGTAAAAAAAAAAAAGACAACGTAGAATTGAAACATGACATTAAAATTTGATTGTATTTACGGGTAAAATTTACATAGATATTTCATAAATGATATTAAAAACTATTGAAAAATATAATATACAGGCAAAAGAGAGAGTTACATGATTTTAAAGAAGTGCAGCTCATGTTTTTAATTGTGAAGATTGAAGATGAAATTCATATTAGTTTTTAATTGTGAAGATTGAAGATGAAATTCATATTGGTTTTTGTGTGATTGGAGGTGACCCAATAATATAAAGTTTGTATAAGTTTGTCTGTTTTTTGTTGGTATAATTTATTTTATTTTGCCAAAATCTTAAAGAGGCCATCTAAACATATTTACATAAATTTTGCCCTCCTTCTATATTCTTTGGTCGCCTATAATTATACAACTGCAATTCCTGAAAAAAAGTATAACTAGTTAATTTACTGTTATATTTTTATTCGTATATCAATACTGTTTTCATAAAGAATGGTGACAATATATTGTATTTATCAAAATATTATCACAAACAATGTTTCGCATATAATACAAACGCCACAACTATTTTCTTTTGAATAATATATCACAAGTATTAGTTTTAATTTTTATTGTTTTAGACTTATATATTACAATTTAAATATTTATTCCTATTATTTTGCAATTCTATCAACGTGTATTTAATAAGTTAAATTATAATTCTCATAAATTTAATTCAAAATAAGTGTTGGCTATTGATATAAGGATTGATGGTGATCATTTTTATTGTTACCTTAATATGATGACATACGAATATAAAGAGATAAAAATATTGATAGTATATAATAAATAATAATTTGATATATATAGATATTTATATTTTTTTTTTATTTTTTTTTATTTTTTACTTTTGGATGTAAATTTACT